TTTGTTAATCAAGACAAGGCAGTTTCGCGAAGGGGCAAGCTGATAATGAAATGATAGGAAAGATGATGTCGACCTAGCGAACTGAGCGTCAAAAGGCTCCATGAAACCCCATGACAGGAACCCGTGCGACTGTTTGAGTGCGTGATCAGATGAGCCCACGACGACCCACGTACACTTGAACGCCTGCGAGAGAATGTTATCGTGTGGGCTCGCAGGTACCCAAGTTAACGATCATATCGGCCTATAACTGTTTGTATAGTCATTTGGGCTATTAAACTGGCTTGCGAGTTCTAGTCAGTTGTGCTAGTTTGCAGGTGTTAGTGACAACTGCTAGTTTGCAGCCTATGCTCCAGCCTAGTTGTGCTAGTTTGACTTAAATGAATGATCGAGATCATCCTTTTGTGATTGTTGGGTCCGAGTGGTGAGACGCAAAGGAAAAACAAGGTAGCTAAGGAAAATTTTCTATTTGATTGTTAGGTTTCCACTTGATGGGGATTAAAGTTTAGGTCCAGTTGACATTCCAAACAAAAATGAGGGTTGATCGGTCTATCTGGACCGTTGGGCGCAAACTAGAGGGGTGAACATCCACTACGTTTACCTTCGACGTCGAGCAGTCATGAAGTTTGGATGTGACTCTGTACGATATCATGTGTTCCTTCCAATAATTTCCACAAAAATTCAGAGAGTCTTTTAAGCAAAATTTGATACAGTTCAGGGGTGACTTCCTTGAGTGCATTTGGACTTACCTCACATTCAAAATCGGTCATGAAATCGAATGTAATGCTTCCCTCTTGAAATATGTCTGGCAGTACTAAGATACTCTGTCGCTCAGAGATAGAGACAGACTCGCATGTTGGACTGTTATACAAACATCTTTACTTCATATGAGGACAGTGCGACAATGGTTGCAATCAAAACGAGATAAAAGTCCCCTGAACGCCAGATCCAAGTCTAAGTTCTTTCGGGTACCCTTGGGAGGGGCATAGAGCTGTTAAGTGCGAATGCCTCTCTCTTCAGGCCCTGTTAGACCTAGTGTAGACATAACCCTGTGCTTGGAAACAACCATCTTGTGAGAGAGCTCAGAGTCGAGAGTTAATCTGATGTCTTGTGACTGGGAGCCAAACCTGGAACGGTATAAATAGACATGGCACGTTTATACACAGACTGAGAGTAAAGGTCAGTTGTCCCGATTGCTCTGTTGATGTCTCTGGCAACAACTCTCAATCAGATCGCGTTTTATTTAGTGTCATAAAAAGGTTTCAGTACCCATGCCAACATATGAGCAATGCTTACTATTGCTTAGTTGTCTTGATCAGTGAACCAATCCCAGCCTCTTTGTCAGCTAAAACCTCTGAAGGTGAGCACTCCAACATCCTATTAACGGTGGTACATAAATTATGTTGAATCGCTCAGCAGTTGCTAAACCCCTAACTAACGTCAACGACTTTGAGTCTGGAGGGAGTTTATCCACATTGAATGGAAGACAACCAGAGTCATCTGCAATCTATTTTATTCACTGCTTGGGTTTGGAACGTGACGGAAACCACGAGCCTTAGGAAGATGAAATCTTAATGATGAAGTGCGGGGTTATTCTGAAGAAACATGAAAACAAAGAGGATGAGGCTTTTCTGAGTACGGAGCGTTAGAGAACAGTCTTGAGAGTGAGTGGAATCCGGAGAGTTAAGGAACAAAATTTTCATTGAGTATGTGTTCTACTTCTGTGATCAGAATGGCAAGTTATATAGTACCGGCTTGTGGCTAGAGACGGTGGAGCAAGCCAGGTTGAGGCTCATGTAAACAACAAGATGCCCAGACTGTCCTTTCGAAAACCAATGCCAGTAACTCAGTTAACAAGACGCTACTCTATAATCTGCAGTTACCTCAACAACATTCAGTCTCACTCAGTGCTAAGTGACTTGTTATCTTAGCAAACATTCAATTTTTAGTCAGAATTGAACAACATTTGGTCATCAACGTTTGTTACAAAAATCAGTATTAGTCGGACAATGTCCTCATCAAAAGACACAGGGATCAGTCTCAACATTGTCCCTTGCACATGAGTTGATTCAATCATTCTCAGTTCAAGACGTCGTATTAACTAGCCTCAATAAGGTCGCTTCCAAAGATGTCGTCTGGTACAAATATGACATTGCAGTGGGTTTCAGACAAAAAAACTTATCTTGGTTGTCCTCGCTAGCTTTGCGGAAGACGCTATTCATGACTTGAGGATTTACCTGAAGAAAGATAAGGAAACTCATGATCTTCTTTCTCAGCAGTAAAGTACCTTGAACAGAAACAGAGGGAGCTTGACGAGAGTGGTGTGAAACTGATTCGCATCTTCGGACCAAAGCTCTACACATACTAACCCAAGCCTCCAGTTCCTTTCATTCTCACAGATGGTTCTTGTTGGGGTGATTTGGTAGACCAGACCAAGAGGTATATCTCGCTTGCAGAGATTGACTACGAGGTAGTTACGGAACCCTCTGAGTTTCAACATCTTAGGCATGGGATTTTATCTCTTCCATATCTTTCTACTCCGTGGGAGGAATTATGTGTTATGGCTGACTTCCGTATTATGGCCCTCGGATGAAAGTGTTCAGAACTTGCAGGTTTTAGGTGGTTCTGTATTCAGAGGCCACAACCTTAAAGAGTACGGGGACATGACTTAAGGCACAGGAAAACACACAGTAAAATTAGAGATTGAGTGTATGAGCTAGAAGGATGAGTGAGGAATCGCGACGAGTGTTGGTCATGCTTCTTTCATATGTATTTTCTGAGATTATTATGAGTTCTCATTCTCCCCTCATTCACCCTTGTCATTTTTTTGAGTCAGTCGGTCCTGCATTATTTGCATTGGCTTGACCTGATGATTGTATTATTTGATGATTTTGTCACAGTTCTGAAAAATAGTAAATTGACAAAATTGATACATGCATGACACACCAGAATTTTCAGGATTATTATTTGCGTAATCTTTGTTGTTCCGAATCAAAATAAAAGATTCCTAAGATCGGGGACCGGCGAGGACCGCAATTGAAGGGTCTTGCTCAAAGCCGGACGCACACAACAGGAAGGGATTTGCTTTATTTATGTTGCTGTTGTTGCACCTCCCCTGCCAGTGTTGCTCCTGCCAGGCTCCAACGCTGCATCTGCGAACGGTGCTCCCGCCAGCGCCTCCCCTTTGAGCGCCACTCCCTCTAGCGTTATTCTCACTAGCGCCCAGTGCTGCTCCCGACTGTTCGCAAGCCAACGCCCCCTCACTAGCTTGTGCCCAGTTCACAAGCCGCACGCCACCATACTGATGCAGAAGCCAGCCAACGGCCGACCAGAAGCCAGCGCCCCGCTCGCAAGCAAGCACCCCGTTCACAAGCCAGCGCCCTGCTCACAAGCCAGCACCCTGCTCATGAGCCAGCGCCCTGCTCACAAGCCAACACCCCACTTGCAAGCCAGCGCCCAACTCACAAGCCAGCGCCCCACTTACAAACCTGCGCCTTGCTCAAAAGCCAGCTCCCCACTCACAAGCCACCGCCCCGCTCACAAGCCTGCGCCCTGCTTGCAAGCCAGTGGCGGACTCACAAGTCAGCTCCCCACCGCTCACAAGCCAGCGCCCCGCTCACAGAACATCGCCCTCTCGCAAACCAGCACCCCGCTCACAAGCCAACCCCCCACTCGTAAGCCAGCACCCCACTCACAAGCCAGCCAGGATGTCGTAACTTGAAGATGACGTTGTAAGTTAAAGATATTGCCAGGCTGCCGTAACTTAAAGATAGTGCAGCAAACATCCAACCAGGTCCTTCCTTCCATCCTCACGTTCATGTTTCTTCCACAGTTGGAATTTCCGACGCCGACTGCCATTAGCAAAGACTCCAGCACTGCTCTCGTCAGCACGCTCTGGCTCCGGTATAATGTCTTAAACGTGGCTATGGCCACAGGACAAGTCCAATTGTTGTCGTTGGTGTCATTGTTACTTGTTGTTGTTGTTGTTGTTGTTGTTGTCGTTGTTGTTGTTGTTGTTGTTGTTGTTGTTGTTGTTGTTGTTGATGTTTTTGTTGTTGTCGTTGTTGCACACCCCCATCACTGCTCGTGACTGCTGCTCCCCCCAAGCCAGCACCCCGCCCCCACCCGAGCTCCCGGCTCAAGAGCCAGCCTGTTGCTCAGAAGTCATCGCCGCTCTTACATGCCAGCACCCCGCTCACAAGCCAGCGTCCTGCTGACTAGCCAGCGCCCCTTTCACGAGTCAGCACCCCGCTTACAAGCCAGCGCCCCGCCCACAAGCCAGCGTCCCGCTCACAAGCCAGCGACCCATTCACAAGGCAGCACCGCGCTCGCCAGCCAGCGCCCCGCTTACATGCGAGCGCCCTTACAAGCGAGCGCCCCAGTTACAAGCCAGTGCCCCTGCGTCCCCGCTCAGAAAGAGAAAGTTCAGTTTTTTTACGGAGACAGAGGCTTCGCCACAGGGATCCACTTGAGAAGACCCTAGAGTCCTGTACTCGAAGTTAAAAAAGAAAATTCTCCTTGTGATAAAATCTGTTTTCACCTAGATCACCATTCCCCTCTGTTTGTTATCTGTTGACGCAGGTGGAATTTTCTTAGGAAAACAAACCAAAACATTTGCCTCCGTTTATCACATGGCATCGTGGCATGCAAGCCCGCAGCTGGCATTTTCATTGGGTCTCAGCCACTTGGGTCTTGACTGAGGTTTACCTGCTGGGGTCTTGACTGGGGTCTTACGAACTGGTGTCTCACACATTGGTGTCTTGATTGTTTTTTTTTTTTGTTTTTTTTTTTTTTTAATAAAATTTTTGGAACAAAGGGCCGAATCCSAACAGATCGTGACGACAAGGCCACTCTACTGCTTACAACACCCCGTTCCCTGTCTAAGTCGTCTGCAAAGGGTTTGACTCCCCGAGCGAAAGAAATTGTGATGATTGTGATCTTGCCCATTGGGTTTTTGACTGGGGTCTTACCCTCTGGGGTCTGAACACGTAAATGCAATGCAGATGGAAAAGTGGAAAGAACGAGGCAGCTGGAGTGGTATACAACAACAGAGGGACAGAGAGGAAATTGAGAACGCCAGGTGGATCACTGGAAATGCAAAACCTTGCCCACATTCATCGTGTGGAGCTCCGATCAACAAGAACGAGGGCTGCAACCACATGACATGCAGATGCGGACATCAGTTCTGCTGGTGAGTGGAGACTGTGGAGCTACTCAATTAGGTCTGGACTGGGTCTTCACTACCTCTTGGCTAGGGGAGAGATGGTGAATGGAAGACCCAAAATTCAAAAATTCAGGGAAATGTGGCAGTTTCTGTGAAAACTTCGCTAAAAATGACACCACCTATTAACCATGAGTGGACTAGGGCTTCCACAGAGGCCGTACTGGTCTGAAGTGGGGTCCCAAAATGGGGTGTCTGCTGGGGTATTGTGGGGGCCTCAGTTTGGTGCTCAACCGAATCCATTATCATTATTGTTATCCTGCCCTCCTTTCCTTTTTCCCGGCCAATGTTGTTTTGTGTCCCCCTTTTCCCTTCTGTTTTCCCCCCGGCAAAAGAGAAAAGCGTGGACCACGCCTTGCCCGCCCACCCACCTACCCACCCACGGTCCCACACATCTTTTTCCTGCCGTGCAAGAGAAAAGGGCGGCCCATACCCACGCCCTGCCCCAGGTCCAAGATTCAGGCCCATGTTCCTTTTTTTTTGTTGATTTTTTGGAAAGTTAACCTCGATGCCGAGGCCCAAGCCCAAGATTCAGGCACACGGCACCAAAGCTTCTAGAACCCTTGTACTCTCGCTGCTGCACCAGTAACTGGAGTCCAAATTCAATTGCTAGCCTATAATCTATCCTACCTTATGGACCACGTACAACAAGAGGTTACGGACCCGGGTTTGGCCGGTAGCACAGGTAGTTACGAAACCGCCAAGTCTTTGCACCGACTTAATTTTAAAAAAAGGGTCCTGGTTCGAGTCCCTTCTCGACGACTATCCAGCAAAAACTATTAAACAGTAAAAATCGAAAAAAAAGGCTACTGTAACAGGCTTTTTGGCTAAGATCAAGTGTAGTATCTGTTCTGATCAGTTTAATA